GTAGTAGTGAGTAGTAGTAGTAGAGTAGGAAGTAGTAGTAGTAGTAGTATCTGCACGTAGTAGTAAGTAGTAGTAGTAGTAGTCGTATTATTAGTAGTAGTAGTAGTAGTAGTAGTAGTAGTAGTAGTAGTAGTAGTAGTAGTAGTAGTAGTAGTAGTAGTAGGAGGAGGAGGAGGAGGAGGAGGAAAAATCGTAGCGGACGTCCTGGAAGAAGGAGAGGCAGCCACGAAGTCTACGAGATTGCACGGCCCTGGCCAGGAATCCCCCCCCCGCCCCCCACCTGGTCCTCGCCCTCTTCATGCCGCGCCCCCGATCCACAACCAATAGATGTTGGCGGCGCGCCCAGGGGGGCAGTCGCAGGGGGCGGGCCTCCTCAGAAGGGTCAGAATGCCTCCCCCGAGGCGCCCGAGAAGCCTTCTGAGCCTTCCCCGAAGGTGGAGGCGGCGCTTCAGAAGGCGTGACGGGCTTCTGCGGGGCCCCGCCGCTTTCCAAGAAGGCCAGGCCCCACTGTCACTTCCCCCTGCGGCGCGCCGCGCTCTGTGGAGACGCTGCAAATCAGCCCCAGGACCTCACCAGGGATGCCGTCTGACCACAATTTCGAGGGGGATCCAGCCGTGGAAACGAGAAGCCTCCTAGAGCCCCACATACGGACGAGACGTCCCCAAGACATCTGTTCCTCGCAACACCCCCCAACGCGTGCCAAGCGCGCAACATCAGCCGTGCGGCGGCCGAGACACGCAAACACTACTCGTGACAATAGTTGCCCGGCCATTTTCTTAGAAAGACGACCATCGGGGTGGGGGGATGGGGCTGGGAGAAGCGATCACATCATCCGTATTGCCGCGTATGTTGGAGGTGCATAGCACACGGTCGTACCTGGTATCCTCCCAACACGATCCTCCAAACGCGATCACTATTTTCCTGTTGTTCCCAAGTCGGCGCGACAGAGCGAAAGCACAAACGACAAACGACACGATGCCCCAGCCCCTCCCCCAGGGTCCCGCTCCTCGTCGCGAGGGCTTTCTCGACGGCCCCGGGGCCCCGCCAGGGCCACAGAGGCCGAGCACGGCGAAAACCCCTCGGATGATTGCTTGCTCCTCCTCCTCCTCCTCCTCCTCCTCCTCCTCCTCCGCTTCTTCCTCCTACTCCCCCTCCTCCTACTCACCCTCCTCCTCCTCCTCCTCCTCCTCCTCCTCCTCCGCTTCTTCCTCCTCCTCCCCCTTCTCCTCCTCCTCCTCCTCCTCCTCCTCCTCCTCCTCCTCCTCCTCCTCCGCTTCTTCCTCCTACTCCCCCTCCTACTCACCCTTCTCGTCCTCCTCCTCTTCCTCCTCCTCCTCCTCCTCCTCCTCACGCTTCTTCATCCTACTCCCCTTCTCCTCCTCCTCCTCCTCCTCCTCCCCTCTCCTCCCTCCTCCTCGCCTTTCCTCCTCGCTTTCCTCCTCCTCCTCCTCCTCCTCCTCCTCCTCCTCCTCCTCCTCCTCTCGATTTGTTGGAGGCCTGGGCGCCCTTCCCTCCCTGCCTGGAAGCCCCTGCCGCTGCGCCCCCTGCCGATGCCGCCCACCGCGGCTCCCGGTCCAGGAGGCGCTCCACGCTGAGGCGCTGCGACAGCGTGGCGTTGCCGAGCGAAGCGCTCGTGGCCGCACCCGCTTCTTCTGCTCTCTCTCTCTCTCTCTCTCATTTTTTTTGTTTCTCTCTCTCTCTCTCTCTCTCTCTCTCTCTCTCTCTCTTAGGGGAACAAGAAGTCACATAAACGTAAAAACTCGGAAGCCCGCGCGGATTTCTCGGATCGGCGCTGGACCCCCCTCCCTGGCGCGCGGAGCGCGCCAGGGGCGGCGCCGGAGGCGCCGCCGAGGGGCCCCAGCGCCGATCCGAGAAATCTGCGCGGACCTCCGAGTATTTTTAAAAGTTCATGTCACATTATATTCCCCTATCTCTCTCTCTCTCTCTTTCTTTTTTTTTTCTCTCTCTCTCTCTCTCTCTCTCTCTCTCTCTCAGCCACGCGCAGAGGGGCGTGGGGGGAGGGGGGAGGGCTTCTCAGAAGCACCCCTGCTCCTTCGAAGGCGCGGCCCTTCTGGATGTGAGGCCGGCGCCTTCTGGGAAGCAGCCTCCTTCCAAGGAGCCCTCCCCCCTCCCTCCACCCCCTTGCGTTGGGCATGGCTTAATGGGGGGGTCACAAATGGGGGGGTCAGAAAAGGTCCTCTTTCGTGCCCCTTTCGGGCCCCTCCAGCGCCCCATGGGGCTCGTTTAGGTACCGTTCGGGTACCTTTTCGGGCCACCCTGGCCACCCCCCCATGTATGACTCCCCCATTACGCAACGCCCAATTGCGCGCGCCGCCAACTCTCGCCGGCTGGCTTGGCTGATCCGCAGGAAGCACGTGAGCGACGATCACGCACGGGTCTTACGCGAGACGGCACGGCGACCCTGCGCGGCGGCCTGCGCGGGCCGCCAGCGCGCGGCACGCCACGCTGGAGACGAGGGCACCTGCACGCGGCCTCACGCGGGCAGCCTGCGCGCCACCGACGGCGAAGACGACCCCGTTTTTTTCGGCGTCGCTCACGTGTACACCCTGCGAAATGCTTAAGAAATCATGGGTTAAGAAATTCATAGTCTCAGAACTTGAATAAAAACGCAAAATGTCCAGTCAAATCTTAGGATTGACATGGAAAAGTTAAGAATCATCGAGACTCTGGCCGAAAACTTAGGTTTTCTTAAGCATCGCCTAAGGTGTACATCCAGATCTCCGACGCTCCGATTGTTGCCACGCGGGCGGGTGCTCCTCGGGTTCGGCCACTGGGGCCCCCTCTCGGGGCCCCAGTGGCCATCATACAGCCGGCTGCGCTGACCTGAGGAACCCTATAGAGAAGGAACGAGGCCCCTCCTCCTCCTCCTCCTCCTCCTCCTCCTCCTCCTCCTCCTCCTCCTCCTCCTCCTCCTTCTCTCCAGAAGTGAAACTCCGACCTCCCATCGAAAACCTAAGGAACACCCGAGGCAAGCTGTATCACAGTGAAGGAACTCGGGGGAAAACAAACCTGCCTCGCTTTTGACCACCCTCGCTTCCAAGAGATACCAGACAATGCCAAATTGCGGCCTGTGCTGGTCAGGACGCTTGGCGAGGAGGCGCGTGGTATGGCTTGGTTTTGCCTGGAAGCGAAAGCGGGGGAGGTAATTCACGCTCTGAGGAACACGGATCCCCTCCCAAACGACAAGGCTTCCTTGTTCAGCGCCCCGGCTGGAAAGGGACTCGGGGCGGAAAGCTGGCCCCGGGGAAGTGTGAAGGGGCCCCAGGACACACAAATAAATACACACAAATAAAAACATTCACCATATTTTCCTATATTTTCTGGGTTTTCGTCTTCCCCCCACTTCCCATATTTTCCCATATTTTCCTGGGGATCACCGATTAATTGTGTCTGTGTGTTTTTTCTCCTCCTGAAAAGGATTCCTTTTTCAGCGCAACCCCGCTGGAAAGGGACTCGGGGCGGAAAGCTGGCCCCAGGGGAAGTGGTCGGGGTCTCGGGCCGCGGATCGGAAGCAAAATCCCATCCCTGGTGGCGGGCACGGCGGGGTGCCGTCCGACCCCAGGCCGGAAGCACACCCCATCGAGAGCACGAGAGCATCCGCCGGCCCAAACTGAAGAACGTTCGAGGGTGCCCTCCCCCAGGATGCGCAAGAACATTCGAGGGTGCCCTCCCCCAGGATGCGCAAGAACATCCCACGAACCTGGCAGTCGCTCAGGCGTCCATTCCATGTGTTCTTTTTTGTTTTGTTTCGTGCGTGGTTTTTTCGCCAGATGATCCAGGATGCTCCTCGATGGTCCTCGCCGGAGGAAAAATGCACACGTCCGAGCGATGCCAAGCGAACTCGAAGAACACCAGGGCACCCTCCCCGAACCGACCTCGACCTTCTACCTCGGTCCGGCTGTAGGGAGAGGGGGAAGGGGCTTCTTCGAAGGAGGCTGCTTCTTGGAAGGCGCTGGCCCGATATCTACAGAGAAGGCCCGCGCATTCTAGAAGCAAGGGTGTTTCTAAGAAGCCTCCCTCCCTCCCCCTACCTCCCTCTGCCGCAGAGGGAGGTAGGGGGAGGGAGGGCGCCCAACCTTCCTCGCCTCGCGCCTGTCGTCCACGACTGTCGCTACCCAGCGTCGCCACCTACTTTGGGGGTTCTGCAGTCGAGGCCGATCTCTGACCCCCAGACAGACTCAACCTCTGCGCGTGGTCGGGATCTCTTGGGCCGCGGATTGAAAAGGTCCGATCGGCGGGTGTCGGGGAAGGCACCTGTACGCCACCACCACGCCCAGCCAGGATCGCCTCGGGCCCACGCAAGGCGTTTTCGCCCTCCTGCCCGATGCCAGGGGGGTAGATGCACCATCCTGGAGCTCATGATGGCCGCGGCCAAGCATGGTACGGTAGGTTCGCGCGGCGTCGGCGCACGCAAAAACTTTTGACACCGCGTCGATCGTTCAACCTTGAACCGATCGCGGCCCCGATCGTTCAAGGTTGAATTCAGTCGGGTCCAATGGCGTTACAATGTCCGTCGGTGATTCCGCGTCACAGAATTCAACCTTGAACGCCTTTGCCGGCGTCGCTGGCGCGCCAACGCCGCATGAACCTACCGTATGGCTGCCTCCTGCGGGTCAAATATCTCGACGGCCGACTCGAACGACTGATCAGCTGATCAATTGGATTGGACGCCTGCTGGGCTTAGTGAATCGATGGTTGACTGACCGGCCGGCTGGCTGGCTGGACGACTCATCGCTCGATCGGTCGGTCGATCCGCTGCTTCCTTTCCGAGCTGGGCGCCGCCGGCTCCCAGCTTCCCGCCGTCCGAAAGCGTTTGCCACTGTACCACGCGAGCTGTGCGAGTGGAAAATCGATAGAAAGAGAGAGAGAGAGAGAGAGAGAGAGAGAGAGACAAAGACACAAAAAAAAAGATAGATAGAGAGAGAGAGAGAGAGAGAAAAACAAAAAAACATTGAAAACCCAAAAAAACATAGAGAGACAGAGAGAGGGAGAGAGAGAGGGGGAGAAGGATCGTCTCGCTACACCCGCGGATCGGCAAGAGCGAGGTACGAGTGATGACGCTCTGGGTGGGGCAAACGGTCCTCCAGGGGTTCCAGGCGACTTGCCATCGGCCAAGACAGCCCAAGAGGTCCCCATGAGCAGCCAAGAGGCCCAAAAGACGGCCCACGAAAGCTCCAGATACTCAGAAGACGGCCTCGGAGAGGCCCAAAGAGGACCCCAAGACGGTCCAAGAGCGCTCCGAGAGGGCCTGAGATGGCCCCGAGGCGGCCCAAGAGGCCCTCGAAACGACCAAAGGCGGGCCCGAGAGGACCCCTTTCTACGGGCCTCAAGAGGCAAACGTCGTAGATGTGACTAAAGTCGGGCCGCTGACATCAGGCACGCTAAACGAGGAACGAAGCCCCATAGTGGCGCCACAGGCGCCTGCGTGCACGAGGACCGCCAGAGAACCCAACAGTGGAAGGACCTAAGCAGCATCGAGCCCCTTCCGAGCCCCACTCGGTCTTTACTGAAGTAGGCGTCTTGGCTGTAGACGTTTAGCAATATCTCGCGTTCTCGCCTTGTCCTGCCGTCCGACCGTCCAGGACGCCCCCAAGGGAGCAACGACCGAACAATCGGGACCGAACCCACCGCGCCCCCCAGAGGGTGGTCAGGGTCAGCTGCATGATGTGCTATGGTGCCGCATCATGTGTTCTGGTTACGCGACCTGGGAAGCCCCCGGCAAGGGCTTCCCGGGTCGCCCCAAGATGGCCCAAGCGCCCCCTCCCAGGAGCCCCGAGACGGCCCAGGACAACCACCAGACGGATCGACAGGGCCGACCAAAGACCGCTCAGGAGGGCCCCGCGACGGCCCACGAGGGCCCCCGAGGCGGCCCCAGAGGCCCTCAGGGTGGCCCAGACGGGCTCGTTGACGGCCCCAAAGGCCCCCTAACGGTGCCAGAAGTCCCCTAGAGGCCCCCAAGATTGAACTTGGTTCCAGTAGGGTGACTTCCCTTGGATGTCTGGAAGTGGCTCCCCTTATCGTTCATGTTTTACTTTCCGACCGCCAAAGAGCTTCCCAAGTCGCCACGAGACGGCCCACAAGGCCCTCGGAAGGGGCACCAAGACGGCACCGCCATGGCGTCAGCCAGGGGGGGCGTTTCACGATGTTTGAACTCGCGTGCCAGTGAAACTGATCCGCATCTTACACACAACTCTATACGCAAACGCCCCGCTGCCACGCCCCAGACCAGAACGTGATCCCCCTTACGGGGAAAAACAGCTCCTCCTCCTCCTCCGCCGCCTCCTCCTCCTCCTCGATCCTCGATCCTCTTCGATCCTCCTCCTCCTCCTCCTTCTCCCACCCCGTCCTCCTCGATCCTCCTCCCCCGCCCTCTGATCTGAGAAATCCAGAGGCACGTTTGTCGTCGAACTGCGAGCTTCCTGAGGTGTCCCCGTGTGCCCCCAGGGCAGTCGAAAGAGAAACTTCTGTGGGGCACCTGCCGGAAGGCAAATTCCTCATTCGACACGTCTACCCAAAGGGAAGGAGCAGGACCACACCAGAACGCCCAAGAGGCCTCCCCGACAAACCCTCCGAGAGGCGTGAGATCGTCCGAAAGGGGGACGGGACACCGGCAGCCTGGATGGGCCGACCGGGGCACGCGAAGGCGGAGCGCAGAAGTTGGCGCTGCGCCCCAGTCCCGCTCAGTAGCGGAACGAGCCCCGCGAGTCTTGCAGGGACTCCCCGACACGCTCGTGCACGGCGAGCACGTTGCCCCCGTCCAGAAAGACGTCGTAGCCACGCCCAGACAGGTCGGACATCGCCGGGCCGAGCTCGTCGGGGACGCCGCGAGCCTCCCAGCCGAAGCAGCACGGGAAGCGCACGAGCAGCGGCCTGAAGCCGGGGAGCCTCAGCAGTGCGTCCAAGAGTTTGAGGTCGCTCCCCTCTGCGTCCAGGATGACGACATCGACGTCGCTCGCCGTGGCCTCGGCAGCGGCGAGCACCGACGCCATCGACATGCACCTGACCTTCCTCTGCTTCATGTCGGAGTGCCTGGAGACGTAGTGCCTGTCGAACGAGTCCCGCGTGGCTGCCTGCACGCTGGTGTAGAGCGTCGCCTCCTCCCTGTCCGTCTCGCACGCTGCGGCCGAGATGATCTTCCGGTTCTTCGCTGGCAGAAGACAAGAAAACGTTAAGCGCATGAACTCTCAGAGGTTCGCGCGGGTTCCTTTGGTCTGCGCTGGGCCGCTCAGCCCCCGCCGACGCCGCGCGGAGCGCGCCGTCGGCGGTGCAGGGAGCTTGGGGGAGCAGCACCGGCGCTGACCCAAGAAAGCCGCGCGGACCCCCCTCCTCCCCCTCCTCCTCCTCCTCCTCCTCCTCCCCCTCCTCCCCCTCCTCCTCTCCTCCTCTATCCCTCCTCTCTCACTCCCCCTTCTCCTCCTCCTCCTCCTCCTCCTTCCTCCTCCTCCTCCTCCGAAAATTGTGCTCATGCAGGTTTCCAGTCTCCAGATGGTAAAATCACTCCGGCAAGGGACCGCCCTGAGGCGTCGCCAGGGAGGTGCCTGTTGAGCAGGGGCCGACCGTCCCAGCATTCCTATGGGCCTACCATAACATGTTCTTAGAACCCTAAAATGTTCCAAGAACAAAGCAATGTTCTGATTACATAAGCCCCACGCATTAAAACAAGACAGTATCGGCCAGAAATGTTCTAAGAACATTTCGTGCAGACCACAAAAGGTTCTTAGAATATTCTTCGGTGGGCTTATCGGCGAGCCAGGACGTTTCGCCACTGCTTGAGCCTGGAGTTCGGCTCGACGAAGACCATCCGCGGGGACAGCGCTGCGAGGACGGCGAAGTCCGCGAGGTCCCCCTCTCCGCGGGCAGGAGACATCTGCACAACACCGCAGTGCCTCACTAGGGCCACGCTTGGCCCTGGCGTGGTGCACAGTTGGCACTGTGACTGCAGAGGGCACGCGGGGAAGTACAAATCTCTTCCGGTCCAGACATGATGGGGGCCATGAGGAGGGGGATAGACTCGGCGGCGAGCGGGGGGAAGTAAGTGAGAAGGGGCGGGCCTCCTCCGAAGGCTCGGAAGCCCTCTGGCCTTCTGAGAAGCTTTCGAAGCCGTCCCCGAAGACACAGACAACTTCTCAGAAGGCGCGAGGGCTTCTCAGAAGTCCCGCCGCCTTCTGAGCTGAGAAGGCATTATCCTTCTGATGTCCCCCCCCCTCCCTCGACGCCGATAGGCGGGACACAAGGGTACCCTTGATTCTGCAGCGTCGACAAGCTGATCGAACCCGGCTGTACACGCCCGCGTGGCCGAGGCCAGGAAGGTCTGTACACCATCCTGAGGCCCAGGCCGGCCCTGGCCAGGCACGGTGGTTGTGTACTGCTGCCTTCTGTCAGAACGGGAATAATGTCATGCTGCGATTGGATCGGAGTACCTTCCAGGCTCCTCTTGGGGCTCTTGTGGGCCCTTTTGGTGTTACCTTGTAGCTTCAGGGGCCCATCGAGAGCGAACCGGGTCCGACAAAGATCCGCCCGCTGCGGTGGTGGTACCCCTCCTCCTCTGGCATCTGCCGACATGATTTGTGGAATCTGCGGCTCAGAGGTCCCGACCGTGTCCCCGGGAACAGTTCTTCGTCCCCGATGCGTTCCTAACTGAAGGGGAACTGGAACACACAAATAAATACACACAAATAAAAAAAATCCCCATATTTTCTCATATTTTCTGGGTTTTTGTCTTCCCCCCCACTTCCCATATTTTCCCATATTTTCTGGGGAATGGAGGATTAATTGTGTCTGTGTGTTTCTTTTCCTCCTGACTAACGGCCTGGGGCCCGAGCACGGCCCCCTGGAGGCTGGAACCTAAGAAAAGCTGGCCGGTCGAAGGCATCAGATCGCGGGAAGTCCGGGCGCGCACCATGCTGAGGGCCAGGACGGCCTGGCCAGGCACGGCGATTGTGCATATAGCTTGAGCACCGTTTATCCGATCCCCGTCCCCACCGACGTGGCCTGGACTGGCTAAGGTACCTCTCTGGATGTGGATACAGACTGTTCCCTTCGGGTTTCGAGGGGCATAGGCCCCAACAGGGGTGGTGGGATGGCGGGGATCGGGATGCCAAGAGGCCCCGAGGACTGCAAAGAGACCCCCTAAGACGCCCCCAAACGACCCCAAGAAGCTCTGGAAGGACTCCCGAAGAAACCCCGAGAGGCATTCAAGAGGCCTCTGGCCCTGCTCGCCCTCCTCCACAATTACTCAATATGAAAATACTCTCCCTCTTCCCCTGATGGCGTCCGGGTGATGGCCGCGCACCCTCCGCGTACTGTTTTTTACACACAGGATGCCCGGGAAATCCCGGGAAACGACTCTCGCTGAGGCGCCGGCGTCATTTTTTCCCCAAATGCTGCTCTCGTTGAGGCGCCGGCCTCATTTCTGCTCCCGAATCGTTCCGAATCGTGCTCCCGCTGCAGCGTGGGCCTCATTTTCGGATCGGTGTTTGGCCTCCGTCGTTCAGGATGGCGTTCTCGCCCCAGCGCGGGCCTTTTTCTCGCGCGCCCATCCGCCCGCCACCACCGCGCCGCACCGCCACCACCACCACCACCACCACCACCACCACCACCACAACCACCACCAGCACCAGCACCAGTACCAACACCACCACCACCAGCACCACACCACCACCAGCACCATCAGCACACCACCACCACCATCACCACCCACCACACCACACCCCTCCACCCCACCACTACCACCACCACCACCACCTCCACGATCAACCCGCACACACGCCACGCACGCACGCACGCACGCACCTCGGCACGTGCAACACCCCCCACTACGCACGCGCGCGCGGAGCCACAGGTCCGCTACGACACGCGTCCGCGGATAGAGAAAATCAGCGCCATGGTAAGGGATGGGAGGGAGGGGTTAGGACGTTAGTTATGACGCGATGGGGCGCCAACTAGCTTGCCATTATCCCCCTCCTCCCCCGCTCTACTCCTCTCTCCGCTCCTCCTCCTCCTCCTCCCCTCCTTCCTCCCCTCTCCTCCTCCTCCTACTCTTCTCCTCCTCCCCCTCCCCCCTCCTCCTCTCTCCTCCTCCCTCCGCCGCTCCTCCTCCTCCTCTCCTCCTCCTCTCCCCTCCTCCTCCCCCTCCTCCTCCTCCTCCTCCTCTCCTCTTCCTCCTCCTCCTCCTCCTCCTCCGGCTCCTCCTCCTCCTCCTCCTCCTCCTCCTCCTCCTCCTCCTGGGGATGGGGATGCAAACATGCAACGTCCTGATTCTTGTCAGGACGGCGTGCCAAGAAGTTCCGACCCCTTCCCTGGGACCGGTTTCTCGTCTTGAGTCGTTTCTTGACGCTCCCGAGGCTCGGGGAGGGCCTCCGGAGGCCGAAAACGGCGAGAAACCTGCGTCCTGCTTGTTCCACGACGCGAGCCTGCCTGGGGAGGGGGGGGGGGCCGGGGAAGCGATGCCGATGGCTGCCCTCTGTGGACCTTCAGCTCGTGCGCGCCGACGGCCAGCACCGTGGCCCGGCCTCGCGGCCTCGCCCTCGCCAGGGCCTCCGCGGCGGCGGCCAGCTGCGCGTGCGGGCCGGCCTGGAGCTGCCGGCTCCGGGCGTACCTCCGGCGCGCGGAGGCCCGTGGCCGTGCTGGCCAGCGCTCGGGCGTCCATGCCCTGTGCTTTTTTTTGGTTTCGTGCGTGGCTTCTTTCGGGCGACGAAGTCTATACATATCCACTGCTCCCTGGCCAGGCCCATCCTCAACCCCGCAGCGGTGTGTACGCCACGCCCTCCTGGCTTGGCCAGGAGGGCGCATACACAGCTCCTGGGTTCAAGATGGGCATGGTCAGGGAGCAGCGGATATGTATAGATTTCGTCGCCCGATTCTTCGCCAAGGGATCAGGGGTGCTCCTCGGTGGTCCTCGCCGAAGGAAAAAATAAAACACGTCCGAGCGATGCCAGGTGTGCCGTGACGTGCGTCCTCTTCGCGCTGCGCGCTGCGCGAAGCGCGCGAGGTGCGAAGCGCTTCGCGCCCTCGCGCCGCCTCCCCGGGGGAGAGGAGGAGGAGGAGGAGGAGGAGGAGGAGGAGGAGGAGGAGGAGGAGGAGGAGAAGGAGGAGGAGGAGGAGGAGGAGGAGGAGGAGGAGCCGAAGCGCGAAGCGCGGAGAACTTCGCGCCCTCGAGGGCGCCCTTGTGGATGCATGCCCATCGGTCGGAAGAAGTAGGCAGGAGCATGGAGTAGGAAGGCGTGGACAGTAGATTGGGTTCCGTCCGCCCCCTAAGGAGGACGGCAAAGGTGCAGCCGCTCGATCATTGGAGTAGGAGGGCGCTTGAAGCAGATTGGAATCTGGGAAGCCAAGAACACCTACTTACAACGACCGATGGGTAGACATGCTCGCAGCGTGACCAAAAAACACGACGGCAATTGTTGGGCCGATTCCGGCCTCAAAGGCTCTTGCTGGACCCCGGGGCCGTCAGAGAAGGACTCGGGGTGGAAAACCGGCCAGGGGGAAAGGGTCGGGACTTCGGGGAGTTCGCCCTGGCAGCCCTATTTCTCAGACCTCCGACGATACAGTTCTTTCAGCCAGAATTTGCATCCGCTGATTTCGGCGGCCTCAGGGAGCCGTTTTCGGGCTGCGGGACGATCAGAAGGGGATATGGGCCTAAAAACGATCCAGGTCGGGACCTCTGGGGCCGCGGAATGAAAAAGGGGGGGCCCAGAGGCCCCTGCGAGGAAGCTGGCAGGAGCAGAAGAGGGAAGGGCGGAGGACCCCCCCTGGTGACCGCTCTTTTGTCGCTCCCGGCGGCGCACCAATCGCCTGCGCGCACCACAGCATTCAGGGGGGGGTCCAGCCCCCCCCCCACACCTCCCAGCACGATCGTTAGCCTTACCAGGTGGGGGCCTGGGGGGGGGCGGGTAACGAGCGACACCCTGGGGAGGAAACTAAATAATCGCCCCACGAACCCGGGAAGGAAGTCAGAAAAGCGAAGCGCTACGTTTTCAAAACGCCTCATTGGGCGACAAACAGTTTCAATGCTGAAGATATCGATCGTGATGTGCGGCGCCAAAGATTGTGCCGTGCATTGCTGCGATGAAGCGAGAGTGTCATACCGCAGTGAAGCGCATTGTGCTCTATACTGTTGTGGATCAAACTCGAGCTGCCCGAAAGCATAGCTGGCCCAGAACTGGTTGCAGTCGGAACGTGTGGGGCGCTCAATCAGCAAGAGCTCAAGATCCGACGCAGTTCCGAAGCGGAACGAGACGACACGTGGGGGCAGGGCGCATGGACGCGCTACGGTATGTGCCAGGGGCGCACTAGGGCATGCGCCAATGGACGTGTCAAGGGACGCAGCAAGGGACGCGCCACGGAACGGGCAGGAAAGCGCCAGGGGACAAGCCAGGGAACGTGACAGAGGACGAGCCAGGAGACGCGCTGAGGGGGGAGGGGCATACGCAGTCCCGCTCTGGGGCGTTAAGAACTCATGTGTTTTCACGCCTGTCCCGCTCTGCCAGAGCGGGACAGGCGTTAGGAACCCAAGTGTTTTCACATGTCCAGGCCACCCAGGGATGGAGATCAAACATGTGGTAGTGAAAACACGGAGTTCCAGCTCGGGGCGGTGGAACTACCTATGGGGCCACGAAGCGTGTGAGGTGTGCCGGAATGGGAGGGGGGGACGCATGCGAGCGTCGCCACTGGGGCCTTCGGTGGAGCTCCGTTTGGGGCCACGAAACGCGTGAGGGGTGTGCCGAAATGAGCGGGGGGACACGCATGTGGTCACAGCCAGTACGGCCTTCGGTGAAGCCTATAAGGCCACGAAACGCCGCACTGGGTGGCGCGGGACGCGTGTGGGCACAGCCACTGGGGCCTTCGGTGGAGCTCCCTATGGGGCCACGGGGGCCACGAAACGCTGTGCTGGGTGCAGAGAGCAGAGGCAGGGATGGGAGGAGGCAGGAGGAGGAGGGAGGGAGGAGGAGGACAAGGACAAGGACAAGTCGCTTGGGGAGACGATCCTCAGCAGCAGCAGCACTACCGCTTGGGCTCTTCTGACCTCCCTGCGAAGAATATGGAAGCAGGGCCGAGGATCGAGCACGAACAAGATCCCGCGGCCTGCCCAGGAGGAGGAGGAGGAGGAGGAGGAGGAGGAGGAGGAGGAGGAGGAGGACGAGGGGGCACCCGTTGCCTCGCTGCGACAGAGCACTGGTCAGGGGTTGCCGCAGATGCTGGGCAATTCTTCGAGGCGGTGAACGCTCAGCAAGTGGACTCTGAGCGCCTTCCTGGTGGGGACTCCACTAACGGGTACTGTGGCCAGTAACCGGGCGAACCCAATCCTCCCCGATGTGGGCAACGCTGCAATGCTAGAAAGAAGCCCTAAAAGAGCAACTTTCGGCAATTTTCCAAAATACCCGTTAGTGAGTACCCGTTACGGTGCCGCTGAGACTCGGCAGTGCAGTTTGCCATGGACCGGGCAGCGCGCGAGACTGGAAACACGTCCGTGACTGCAGTGTGGGCTCAAACGTCGACAGGCTTGCTTCGGGGGCGTCGTTGGCAGGCGCGCGCCTGACGCATGCACGCTGTCAGTGGAGCAGATCAGCCGCTGCATTCTGGCGAGTGCCAGCGTCCATGCAGCAAGAGTTGGGGACACGGTTGCGAATACGAGTGGGCTCCCAGTCGGGGAGGCTCCACGTCCAGGGCGCAGTGCTCGGCTGTGCTGTACCATGCCGGAGCACTCTGGGAGGTCTGCTTCCAGGGCGCGTGCCGCCGGAGACCTCGCGCGCCGGCTGGGCGAGCATGGAGCGATGCCGTCGCTACTGGCCGGCACGTCGACGATCTGATCTGTGCGTCTCCCTTTTCTGCCGCAAGTGCTTGATTGAGCCATTAAGTTTGATATGCCCAATTATTCGACCCGACGGCGTGTAAAGTTCAGTTGGCGTGGCTTGATATTGTTCTTGATTTTGGGGCCGTCTGCAGGTGGATCTTCTCGAGAAGGAATTCTGGATGTCCCCGCCGTGGGGCTTCTCCCGGAAGACACTCCGAGCGTTTGTGGTAGCTCCCGTGTCCAGATGGGGGCAGATCCCATCATCCCAAGAGCAAACGGACACGCAACTTGCCAGGATGCTGCTGGACCTCATCGACTGCGGTTGGGGTCCCCGTGATCTCCAGAGAACTTCTTAAACCATTCGCGACCGCCACGGGGATGACTGCAGGGACACACTTCGCATAGTCTTGCGGAGGGCGGAGTCAACATTGGCCCCTATCTTGGCCAAGCGTGAGTCCAGGCCCTGCTCCCCCTCCCCCTCCCCTTCCTCTTCCCAGTCTTTCTCACCTTTCTCCTCCTCCTCCTGAGCGGCGGGCGGAGCGTTACGACAGATTCGGGGGATCTTGCTCACCGTCAGCGCTCCGACGATTCCGTTGTGGTCTGGAGGTGCCCGATCCCCTGGAATGCCCAGACTTCCGTTGCACCCACATGGGGACGGAGGAGCCAGACCCCGTGGAACCCCCGCATTGCCGCTGCATCACCAAGAAGGATCCAGCCGACCCAGCTTTTGTCCCCAAACCTACGCTCGCGCCCCTGTCCGTGGCATGTTGGCACAGGCATGCCATAGACTGGAGCCCAGCGTGGAGCACACCGCGCTCAAAAAAAGTGTGCACGCTCCGGCCGTCCGCGGTTGCCGTAGCTCGCCAGGCCTGGGCATTCGAGATGCAGCCCTAGCGTAGCCTTCCTTGCCATTGTCAGAACGGGACAGGGTACCAAGGGGGCCACATGAGGTACAAGCAAGACGCGGGGCGCTCTCTCTCTCTCTCTCTCTCTCTTTCTCTGTTTCTCTTTCTCTCTCTCCCTCTCTCTCTCTCTCTCTCTCTCTCTCTCTCTCTCTCTCTTCAAAAGGAGGACCCAACACCACAGGATGGTTGGGAAATATCAGACTTCACATCGTTACTATCGCGAAATCATTCCGCCAAGTCGATTCTGAAGAAGAGGGAGAAGAAGAAGAAGAAGAAGAAGAAGGCAGAGGGGGGCTCCCTGGTGGGCAGTACTTCCCTGGTGGGCAGTGCTTTCCCTGGCTCCCTCCAAGACGGTCCCGACTGCGTCCACGGGGGCAGTGCTTCGCCTGATGTATTTATGATGGCTCCGGGGCTCGATGAAAAAACGCTGGTCGAACAAAACACGTCGCCATAACATACCGCTGCTTCCCAGACTCCTCCTCCAGGGGCGCGTTAGGACTAGAAAAAAACGAGGCGAATCCAGCCGTGCCGACGAAATAATGGTAACGGTATCGGTATATCTTCCTCTTCTGATCGACGACCCCCCCCCCAGAACTGTGACGTCGTGACTTTGTTTCGCAAGAGGTCTGTACCCATTCCCCGGAACCCGTTCTTCATCCGGAATAACTTCTTAACGGTCCTGGGGCCCAGCGATTGCCCCAGAAGCCGAAAAAACGTTGAAAAACCGTAGCTCTTGTTTCTCCGCGCGTTTGAGGTCTGGGGAGGATCCCGAGGAAGGTCTTGGGGGGGGGGAGGGGCCCTAGGGCAGTTCGCTTGCAGAAACCGCCCGTCGTGATTCCCCCCGCCGAGAGGCACCTCTCCTGAGCCGCGGCGATGTCGTTTGAGGTCTGGGGAGGATCCCGAGGAAGGTCTTATGGGGGAGGGGCCCCTAGGACACTTCGCTTGCAGGAACCGCCCGTCGTGATTCCCCCCGCCGAGAGGCACCTCTCCTGCGCCGCGGCGATGTCCTCCGGGAGCACCCGCCGGCACTGCGCGCTCCTGCGACACCCTCCCCAAACGGGGTCCGAGCAAATGTCCCTAAGGGCTTGTCGACGTTTCGCCCATCGACCTGTGAGAATCGAGCCAGACACACCCAGGTAGATGCAGATAAATCGAGGCAAATCCAGGTACATCCAGAGAAATCGGGGTAAACCCAGGTAAATCTCCAGAGATCTCCAGGGGGAAAGTTCGAGCACTTCGCGGCCGCTCCAGCGCGAGTCGAAGGACGGCAGAGGTCGTTAAGCCTTTCACGAACATGGGCAAATCCAGAGAAATCTGGGCAAATCCAGGTAAATATCCAGAGATCTCCAGGGAAAGTTCGAGCACCTCGCGGCCGCTCCCGCGCGAGTCGAAGGACGGCAGAAGTCGTCAAGCCTCTAACGAACATGGGGCCCCGAGGATCGCGCCGAGCGCCGCCTCGCCGACGAATGCGCCTCGGCGAGATGCGGATCGATGGAGCGCTCGATGTTCTCCACCCCTCGGCGCCGAGGCATCGCCGATGCATCGCCGACGCCTCGGCGGTGCCTCGGCGATGCCTTACCGGCGATGCGGCGCGAGCCTCCGAGGCTCGGCGAGGCGGCTCGATGGAGCGCCCGATGTTCCTCCACCCCTCGGCGCCGAATGCAATCGCCGACGTCGCCGACGCGTCGGCGGTGCATCGGCGATGCACTGGCGATGCGGCGCGAACCTCCGACCCCATCCAATGCGGGCCGAAGAGCTGTAGAAACCATGCTCGGCCCACGAGCGCGGAAAGGGACGTAGAACTGTGAAGCACGGCTTCGTTTCCAAGGCGTCAAACTTGGGCGACGGGCAATTACAGTACTCAGAGTAACGATCGTGATGCACCGTGCCACTGGCTATGCTGTACTGCGCCGTGCTGTGCTGTGCTGTGCTGCGTTCAACGCTGGCCATCGCTCGGACGTCCATTCCCTGTGTTTTTGGGGTTTCGTGCGTGGTTTTTTCGCCAAATGATCAAGGATGCTCCTCGATGGTCCTCGCGGAAGGAAAAATGCACACGTCCGAGCGATGCCGAGAACGTGTCACGCCGCATTGAGCCGTGCCGCGCCCATTGCATTGTGTATCAAGCCGCCCTTGGCGTCAGAATCGTGGCCGAACTGACTTGAATCTGAAGCTCGAACTGCCTCACGAACGCATAGCTCGGGCTAGATCTAGTCGAGACGCGCGGGGCGCTCGACCACCTCGAGCTCACGATCCGATTCAATTCCGAAGCCATTGCCCGAGACATTCAGTTCTGCAACGGAGTGCACCAAGCGCGACCACGACAGGCGTGGGAGAAACATGCGGGGCGTTCAACAAGCTCGAACTCAAGATCCGATTCAGTTCCGAAGTGGCACGAACCGGTCAGAGGGCGAACCCGAGCCGAAACGAAAAGCACCGAGACGACAAGAAGGTCCCGCTCGACACCTCCTCGCTCGAACCATGGAAAGCCAGCGTTTCGCGAGGTACATCCTCAGCACATCCTGCAGAAGGAGCTGTTCGCTGCAGGCGAGGACCTCGCTCGAGACGTCCTCAACAAATCCTGCAGAGCGAGCGCTTCGCCGTAGACATCCTCAACACATGCTCATGTTAGTGATCCACCCGGGCGGCCTGGGCGCGCAAAGACCAGCGTTTCGCTCGAAACATGTTCAACAAATCCTCACGTTCAAGATCCGCCTGGGCAACGTGGAACAAGCGAGAAGACACATCGGCCCCTTGCGCGCGAAAGCGGAACACATGTGAAAACACGTGGGCCTTTTTTTCGCCACATAGCGGAATAAGCGTGCAAACACGTGGGTCCCTTCTGCCCCAGAGCGCAACAAGCGTGAAAGTATGTGGGCCCCTTTCCCCCCAGAGCGGCACACAGTAGCTGCCCCAGAGCTAATGGGCAGGGGGACATGCCAGGAGGACGCGCCGCGGAACGTCCCAAGGGACGCGCCAGGCGACGTGCCAGGGGACGTGTCATGGGAACGCACCGCGGGACGTGCCAAGGGGACACGCTACGCAACGTTCCAATGGACGTGCCGCGGGACGTGCCAGGGGACTCGCCGCGCGACGTGCCAGGGGGACTCGCCACGGGACGCGCCACGGAATTTGCCAGGAAACGTGCCAGGTTGCAATGCTGAATGGATTGATCTTGATGTACCGTGCCGAGGGCTGTGCTGTGCTGCGCCGTGCTGAACTGCGATGCGCAATGCCGCGACTGTGCTCTATAGCGTAGCTGGACCTCAAGCTCGAGCTGCCTGGGCACATAGTAGCTGCCCCAGAGCTGATGGGCAGGCGCACATGCCAGGAGGACGCGCCGCGGAACGTCCCAAGGAACCCGCCAGGCGACGTGCCAAGGGACGTGCCATGGGGACGCACCGCGGGACGTGCCAATGGGACGCGCTACGGAACGTGCCAATATACGTGCCACTTCATGCTAGACATCCGCCTGGGCGAACTGGACACGTGAAAAACGTGGTTCGCTCGAGACATCCTCAACACATCTTCATATCAGACGTCCGTTCCGGGCACCCAGGAAGGGCCCAGGAGGCCCATGTTAGATACCTCCTGGGTGGCCTGGACACGTGCGGCCTGGACTCAAAATCACCCTGTGCGGCCTGGACTCAAAATCACGTGTCTCCAGCTCGGGAGAACCATGCTAGATATCCCCCTGGGTGGCCTGGACATGTAAAAACACGTGGTTCCAGCTCGGGACAATCATGTTAGACACCCCCCTGCGTGGCCGGGATACGCTGAATTGGCGCCCCCGCTCGAGACATCCTCGCAGTGTCTCCCCTGGAGAGGCCCCCAAAGCGCCACTCCCTGCCCAACGCAAGAGAACATCACTTTTCTGGATTGGGATCTGTGTTCGGGTAGCGCCGTTCGGCCCCCCGTGCGGTTCCTGATGATGCGGCGTTGGGCCCGACGCCATGCTGGATAACCTCCCTGGGCGGCCGGGACACGTAAAAACACATGGTTCCAGTTCGGGACAATCATGTTAGATACCACACTGGGTGGCCTGGACACGTGAAAAAACGTGACTCCAGCTCGGGGCCACCATATTAGATATCCCCCTGGGTGGCGTGGACACGATCAAACACGTGGCCCCTGCTCGGGGCAACCATGTAACTAATGTACACCCCTGGGTTGCCTGGACATCTAAAAACGTAGGTGTCAGCTCTGGGCAACCATGTTAGATCACCCCTGGGTGGCCTGGACACGTTACAACACGCGGCCCTTGCTCGGGACAACCATGTTAGATGCCCCCCCATTGGTGGCCTGGATACGTTAAAGCACGTGGTGTCAGCTCAGGACAACCATGTTAGACACAACCCTGGGTGGCCTGGACACGTAACAACACATGGTCCCAACTCGGGACCACCATGTTCGATATCCTCCTGGGTGGCCTGGACATGTAAAAACACGTGGTTCCAGCTCGGGACAGCCATGTTAGACCCCGCCTGCGTGGCCTGGATACGCTGAATGAACGCCCCCGCTTGAGACATCCTCGCAATGTCTTCCCTGGAGAGGCCCCCAAAGCGCCACCCCTCTGTCCGCAAGAAACAACGCTTTTTCTGTTTGGGGATATGTGTTCGGGTAGCGCTTTTCGGCCCCCCGTGCGTTTCCTGATAATTCGGCGTTGGGCCCGACGCCATGTTAGATACCCCCCCGTGCGCGGCCTGGACACGTAACAACACTTGGTTCCAGTTCGGGACAATCATGTTAGATACCCCCTGGGTGGCCTGGACACGTAAAAACACTAGGCTCCAGCAGGGACCACCATGTTAGATACCCCCCTGGGCGGCCTGGACACGCAAAACACTGGCTCCAGCGCAGGCCTACCATGTTAAATACCCACCTGGATGGCGTGGACATGTAAAAACACGTGGCTCCAGCTCGGGACCCCCATGTTAGATACCTCCTCGGTGGCCTGGACACATGTAAGCACATGGCTCCAGCTCGGGACCACCATGTTAGATACCCCTCCGGGTGGCCTGGACATGTGAAAACACCTGGTTCCAGCCCACCCAGGGGAGAGTCTAGGGCGCCAGCTAGGGGCAGCCATGTTAGATACCCCCTGGGCGACATGGGCACGTGAAAACAAACATTTCGCCTGAGACATCCTCTGAATTCTGACCCCCGGCGAGGCCCACGCTCGAGACATCCCCCAACTCTGCAAAAGTAGCGTTCCACCTGAGACATCCTCAACAAATGTGAGTAAAACACGCGCTTCGCTAGGGACATCCTCAATGCTTCCACGCCGAATGAGACACTACCTTATCATTTCTAGCAAATAATTCCGCCGGCCGAAACCAAACACGCGTTTCGCAAGGGACATCCTCAATTTTCCCACGCCGAATGCGACTCTACCTTGCTACTTATCGCAAATAATTCCGCCGGCGGAAA